TTGATATTTCAAGTGCAAAATGATGATATAAAACCTTAATAAAAATATATTTTTAAATATCAATCAACCAACACTGCTAGAAGTTGAAAATATTGAAAATGTTCTTTGGACTAAATAATATTAACAAATAAATCATGGTAAAATTACAACTAAATCCCTAAAAGTAATGCTAAAAAATAAAAATTGTATGAACAATGTAGTAATTCAATTGTTCTATATATATAATAAAATATATCCTTGTGCAAAAAACATTAAATTATTTTATTCAAGAATTAAATTAATAATTTTTATATATATTAAAAAAATATAATTATCAAATTAACTCTATTTAATTCTCGAATGACATTTATATCATGATAAAAATACCACCTTATCACCATCATCAAAGCAAAGATAAAAGATAAAATAACCCAGGGATAATATAATATGAATAATAATTTATGTCTAGGCAGTGATTTGGATAATTATATAAATATTCAATATTATATCTATAAAAAAAATAGTGATAACGGGGCAAATTTTTATTTTAAAACTATATAAATTCATTATCAAATTATTCTAGAGATTAATTTCTTTTTGTCCTGTTTCATCCCTACTGAAAAACTATGAAAAAAATAGTAACCAAAATTATAAATTTTTTTTAGAAAAATGATAAATGGGTACATATTTGTTTTTTCTCTTGAGATCAAGTTGTTCAAAGAAAATTGATTACCAGAACCTCATGGAAAGTCAATTGTAATTTTTATTATTTATAATCTGATTTCTATGGAATTCTAGAAAATTTTCCATACCATAAATGATATATATTTAATTGGGTTTGGAAAATATAGCCTCGTTGATTAAAATTAAATTTGGCCTTATATTATTTCTTTTTATAAAAGTATTATTATTATTATTATTATTATTATTATTGTTATTACTATTTCATCACAGAGGGCTTTTAAGGAAACTTCATTAAGCCTAGAAGTAGAAAGAGAGCTCGGCTTTAATGAGGCTTCTCCACAAAAATTCAGCTTGTCCTTTCCCAGCCCAACCCTAACCACCCAACATAGCTCAAACCCTAACCGCCACCACCAGGTCTACTAGCACATAAATCTACAACACAACCCCAACAAACCACCTAAAACGAACTCCAACCCAAGGAGATTACTGGACTTTAAACACAAATACAAATTCAGAGGGGGTTTCGTCAGAGACCATGTTTTTGCAAGAACCAGTGTTACATGTAGCAAGTGCAGCTTTAAGGTGTTTGGTATTGTTTGCTGAGCTCCGGAAACCTGATCCGAATCGTGAAGCATCAAAGAAAGCCCTTGAACATAAGAAAGAAATCTAAGCATTTGGGTCGTCCCCTTATCCAAACAAACCCTTATGAGGTGTGTGTGTGTCTAAGTTTCTATTTTTGTTGAAAATATCGGATTTTTTTTGCATTTTTTGATTTGGGTTTTAGAGGATTATGTGAATCTTGGTTCTAGGGGTAATTAATGGAATTTAGGTTTGTTTTGGTTTATTGTTTTCTGGAGGATTCTGTGAATTTTGGTTATATGGTCAGATAATGAAACGAAGAATTTTGTGAATTTGGATTCTAGGGTTAGTTAATGGCATATAGGCTTTGTTTTTATTATGTGCTATTGGTTTATTATATGCTTGAATTGTCATTTATCCGCAAAAGTTTGAGTTTTGTTTGTGATAGTGGGGTTGAGGTTGATATTGCAATAAGGGATGTGGGTGGTTTATTGTAGGGAATAGGGATTTGGGGGGGGGGGGTCTGGGTGTTTTGATGTTGATAGGTGCTTTAATCGTTGTTTGGGATATGAGGGAGTGATTGCTTGTGCCAAATGGGATGGGATTAAGTTTCCAGTTTTGCTGTGATGAATGAAGTTGCTTTTTGGTAGTTGAAACTAAGTTATTTTCAGATTGAGTTATTTGTTGAACTTTTGAACTGATGGGTTGAAGCTTAGGCCTCTGGGTGGATGAAAAGTTCAAATTCTTGTGTGACAATGGAGATGGGGGCCATGATATTAAGATTGCGATGGGGGATCTTGGTGGTTTAGTGGGTTATTGTAGGGAATAGGGATTAGGCGATTTGGGTGCTTTAGCGAGGATAGGTAATTTAATCAGTTTTTGGAACTGCAGGGAGTGACTCCTTGTGCTGAATAGGGTGTGTTTAAGTTTCCAGTTCTGCTGGGATGCATGAAGTTGTTTTGTGTTGGTAGAAACTAAGTTCAATTCTGATTGAGTTGTATATTGAGCTTTTGTACTGGAGCGCTGGAGTTTAGGCCTCTGGGTCGATGTTATAGCATGCTTGAATTGTCATTTATTTGAAAAAAGTTTGAATTTTGTGTGATAGTAGGATGAGGACGATAAGGGTAAGACTTCAATAAGGGATGTGTGTGGTTTGGTGGGTTATTGTAGGGAACAGTGATTGGAGAATTAGGGTGTGTTGGTGAAGATAGGTGCTTCCATCAGTTTTGGGGATGTTGGGGAGTGATTGCTCATGCTGAATGAGATATGATTAAATTTCAAGTTTTGTTGGATGGATGGAGTTATTTTTGGTTGGTGGAAACTGGAGACCAATTTCGTTTCTGATATATTGGAACTTTTGTACTATTGTGTTGACCTTGGGTTGGTGCTATAGTACTGTTGTCATTGTTTATACAACCATAAACCGTTATAATATTTCCTGGTGTCTTCAAATGTGCCATTTGTTTTCTAGGCTGTCTATACTTTGTTGGCTGCTACCATGCAACAAATACTCAAAGTTTCTAACGTCAACTGAATACATGAAAATATGCATCAAATGGAGTAAATTTGAGTCTCTTCTATATCATAAACTAATGGCACATGATTATTAGTCACAGTTATATGAGTCCACCTTTTTTGAAAATGATACTGTGTCAACACCGATGGCTGCTATGTTCAGTAATAGCCTCCTGCGTGACTGACTTGACAGGTTCATAGTTGGAAGAAATTAAATTTGAAGACTTGGCCCTGAACCAATATGATTGCTATAACTGGGAAACATAGATATTAGTTCTTTCTATGCCTAATAAAATTTGGATCGAAAACCAAATTTTCAATTATGAAGCCTTCTGATGGCAATTGCTTTGTGGAAGATTTAAACTGCTTCGTAACAATCAAGCCTATCCTCTGCACACTATCCAATATGGCCATGTTCTCATGTTGAAAATATAATTCATTGGAATAGAGGCTTTAAAATTTATGGTCGGTTTAATGATTTATCAATATGCTGCAATTGTATATTTTTATTTTTCAATTGGATGATTGGAATCTATCAAGCAAGCTTTGTATGAACTGGTGATTCTTCCTCTGCGGAAACCTGAGCTCTTCTCACATGAGAAACTTCTTGGTCCACAAAAGGGGGTATTGTTATATGGACCTCCAGGCACCGGGAAGACCATGCTTGCAAAAGCTATTATCAGAGACTTTGGAGCTGTTTTTATAAATATGAGGATCTCTAATTTGATGAGCAAGTGGTTCGGCGATGCACGAAAGCTCGGTGAGTATAGATCGCATTTGAATTGCCTCATGTGCTTGAGCTTTGTCTTGCATTTAGCAAAACAATGATGATTGAAAATTATTGCCTTGTTATTCTAAAACTTGCTGTCGCCCACCAACTATGTTGAGTGAAATTTAGTTTCACTTTGATAATGGAAGCAAGGTAGTACTTTGTGAACATTCTTAACTAAGATTGAACATTCCTAACCTCTCCTTTTTGAAGATCTTTATTAGCAGCAAGATTATTTTGAATGCTCCATTAGCTTTAAAAACACAGGGCACTGTAGCTTGCTTATCTAATGGATCTTACTCCGATGAATGAGATTGTGAAATGATCAAAATATTGGTATTTTTGTTGCTGTGTGGTATTTTTATATATCCTGCATCAGGGATATAACAGAAGTAACTGAATGGCATACACTCTTGCAATTGTGAAAGTGGTCATTACTGTATTTTGCAACTACATCTTTGTGTTGAAACCTTCCTTCTTTACATTCTTTTCTGCACCTGAATCCAAGCAAGGTTAAGCCCAGTTACATGACCGGTTTTCATTCCACAGGTCACCCCTTCCCGCAAGCAGCAATCTGTACCCACTTTCCACGACTCTGTCTTGGGATGCTGGCAATTTCCATGAAGCAGAGCTATAAATGGAAAAGGATTGTTTGAATTGGAGCAAAGAAAAACTTTGGTCATGAGCACAAAAATGAGATGAAGAAATTGTTGAAAGGAAATGGAAGAGAAACAGAATGAAAGAGAGGGAAACCCCATGTTTGGCCTTGCAGGATTTAGTAGTATATTTGGGAGAGATGAGGAATAAAGAAAGGCATTGTTTGTATATTTAGTAGTATATTATAGACAAAGCAATCTTAGATTGTATACTGACGAAATCAAAGTCACTGACCGGCCAAATCTCAAGTACAAGAGTGAGTAATACGTGCGCAAAGCAATGGGGGCACTAAAGACTTTGTACTTATGTATCGTTTCTCGTGACGCAAAAGTACTCATTGTGTGCCCTCGGTAATGTATAACAGTTTAAAAATCGTGACAGCTTAATTTGAATGTATAGAGATGTTTTTCCAAATTGTATTTAGCAATGAGATTTATGCGAAGATTACTTTGCCCACTAAAATATAATTTCCAAGAAATTCAAGCCACAAAATCCTCAATACATAGGAAGAAAAACTTCTTGATGATTTACACTCGTAGTTTACTCACAGCAGAGTTAAAGAGTCATCCTCACCTTCTTATGTCGACTTCAATCCAATCCAGTCAACACGATCTGGCAATAGCTTTATTGAACCGTTACTAGAAAACTGACAAACAATGGAGAATGGAGTTTGAAGGTTCTTGCACTGAAGTTGCTGTGGGATCGGTTCTCCTAAAAGGTCTTTCTCTTTCAGCATCAACAAGGGAGAAGCAATCTTCATTTGGTCTGTCCTCGATCTCCAAGTCTCGGAACTTGGATGTATAGATATTGTCCACTCTTCATGTGGTGCTGAATATGGAACTGAAGGTTCACTTGCAAATATTTCCACACGAGTGAGCGTCGGAAACACGGCAGGACTAATTTCCAAAATTGACATTTTTGCAGCCAGTCTTTGTGCTAACAGATACAGTTCATGCTCTAATTAGAACTTCCTTTGTAGCTCGTCTGATGGCAGCTGTTCTCGGGGACGTCTACCCCGCTATTATTCCTTTCTGGCTTCTAAATTTAATACTAATTGGATCCCCCTTCGCATGTACTGATAGGTTATTCTTGCTATTATTAACAAGAATACGTGACTGTTTACTTGAAGGGTTAAGCAATTTATATGTTTCCCAGAAGAAGAAGAAGCATTTCATAGCTTAGAAAATAGCAATGAATATGTGCTAATAGATACAGTTTGTGCTCTTCCTTTGCAGCTCGTCTGATGGGAAGTGTACGTTTCTGGGGACTTCTACCACTCGTCCTCGTCTTCTATAAAACTCCATGCCAACAAAAGGCAATAATGCAACCCTTGATACAGATTTTTGCTGGATATTTCCACGCAAGGAGAGCTCCCTTAACTAGTTGATGACTAAACAAGAGTATTGGACAGAGGGAAACAGGATCGTTCTCAGGTATCATTAGGAATTGTTTCAAGGAGGAAAAAGTACAAGGTTAGGTTTCTTAATGCCAGAGGCAGTTTGACAGAGATGGATAAGGAGGTTAGTGACAACTCTATGGACTCTACTCTTGCCAATGTCAATGGAAGGCTCGAAAATTTGGCAACTTGTACTGAACCCACAATAGTCTATAGCTCTGAACGAGAGGTGGCAGCTACACATCACCTTGGCAAGGTTTTAGGGATTCATAGAGATACTAATGATGGTTTGGTTGCTGAACATATTCGGAGGCAGATTGATACGAAATAGAAGGAATGGTTGGACTCCCTCTAAGTTCTTGCTCTGGTGCCCAGTTTATGAGTTTTGTTCTAATCTTAAGCAGATGCAACCATAGAATTATAGAGATTTAGACAGTCTTTGTAGAAGTGGGGCTGCACAAAAGTATGTTAGTTCCAATGATATTGAAGCTTTTTGTTTCTTGGAAACTAAAATTTCTAATTATACGAACACCTTAGTAAAAAGTATTTGGAGTGGGTCTAAACTGGAATGGTATAGTTTCTTAGCAATTTTAGCGATGTTATTGTATGTGTGTTAAGCATTATTGCATGCATCACTTATAAAGTATTTTTATTTTTGAACAGGATGTCATAGCATGTGATGTTATAAATCCTGATCACATAGATGTGGAATTTGAATTAATTGGAGGATTGGAATCTATCAAGCAAGCTTTGCATGAACCGGTGATCCTTCATCTGCGGAAACCTGAGCTCTTCTCACATGGGATATTGTTATATGGACCACAAAAGGGGGTATTGTTATATAGACCTGTCTGATAATTGAAGCAAGGTAGTACTTTGTGAACATTCTTAACTAGATTGAATATTCCTAACTTGTCCTTATTGAAGATCTTTATTAGCAGCAAGATTTTGTTGGATGCTCTATTAACTTTAAGAAACAGGGCACTGTAGCTTGCTCATTTAATGGATCGTACTCCGATGAATGAGATTGTGAAATGATCACAATATTGGTATTTTTGTTGCTGTGTGGTATTTCTATGTATCCTGCATCAGGGATTTAGCAAAAGCAACTGAATGGCAATTGTGAAAGTGGTCATTACTGTATTTTGCAACTACATCTTTATGTTGAAACCATCCCTCATTTCATTCTTTTATGCATCTAAATCCATGCAAATCTTGTTGGTTCTGTGCTGACTAGAAACAGTTTTAGAAGTAATTAACTAAGTTTGCATAGTTGCTTTTTTGCTCCTATCGAAGTTTTCATGATCTGACTGCTGTTGATTCTCTTCTATGCTGTTGCAGTTGCTGCTGTTTTTAGCCTGACTTGTAAACTCCAGCCTGCTATTATATTTATGGATGAGGTTGACAGTTTTCTAGGGCAGCTTCGTACTACAGATCGTGCGTTCTTACTCTTGAAACAAGTGCTGCATTTGTGCGGTCTTCTTATACAGTGGCTTGCTAGAATGTGTTTAATGTAAGATTTGTGAAAGTGTGATAATATCTTATAAAAATTATTTTAATGTTTAATGTTTTCCCTGCATTTGTATAAACCTATGTTGCTTTTCTTTTGCGTTAGATATAAACAATGCATTAGAACATTGTTTGTACCTGTTGAGATGATTTTATTACACTTTTTGATAGTCATTAATGTCTTAAAAGTTACCAGAATTACTCTATTTTACTTGCAAATATTAATGCTGGTGTGATAACAGAATCTGTCAGTCCAAGTGTTCTTTTAAATTTACAGGAATTGCTTCAATCTGTTCATAACTCTAACTTTCAAAATACTCCCAATTAACCATCTAGGTGGTGGCCAAGTAGTAAGGACTTGGGATCAAGAAGTTTACTCCCTTTGTGGTCTCAGGTTCGAGTCCTTGGTTGCTCATATGATGGCCACTGGAGGCTTACATGATCGTTAACTTCAGGATCCGTGGGATTAGTCGTGGTGCACGCAAGCTGGCCCGGACACTCACGTTAATCTAAAAAAAAAAAAAAAAAAAAATACTCCCAATTAACACAAACCTGTTATCTACATGGATTCTTTTTCATAGAAGTAACGCCCAATTAGCCTCGAAATTCCATTTATCTTCAACCATCCTAACAAACCATGAAAGTTTTTTTGTTCTAAACATAACGTATCCCGTTGCAACTCCGAACACAAACCCACATCCATACCCCATTGTCACAGCTTTCCATCCAAATCCATCTCCAAACAACGTTGAATCATCTCCTTCATTAAAGCTTGGTGGCGGCAATGATGGTGCCTCATCACTGTAGCATTTTTTTAGTACTTGAAATCCACATAAACCCAAGTTTCCTTCAAATGAGCTTGCGTTAAAGGTGTTGAATTGCTCTCCACTTGGTAT